ATTCTGCCGGCAGGTTTCTACATTTGAAGTTAATTTAGGCGTTAATAAACTGTTTCAGAGGAGTGATCATAGCGCTCTGCATCAGCAGTGCTGCGTCTGACTCCCTGCCAGCTCCCAGATCAGCTTCTCTCATTGGTTGATGAGGCGCATTAAAGCAGATAATGTTTCCAACTCCAGCAGCTGCTGCTTGTGAAAGTTTGAACATTTTAGGAAAGTTTCTGGGGGAAAAACAGGCAAACAATTTGTACTTCTATCAATAAAGGCCTTTCAGTGTAAGGATGGACGCATCGCTAGCTAAAAGCCTAGTGGCAGATAATTGTTACTTTCAAAGTTTTTGGACCAATAGTTATTCATCTAGATGTGAATTACATCCTGTTAATAAATAATATAAATCTTAATGTGTGTCACTGAGTATTCTCATAAAGGTTTGTTCTGATGTCGCCTGGTGGATACAGTTCTCCATCACCAGGACTTCCTTCCAGAAGAACCCAGTTTCTTCCAGAAGTGGGACGACCTACCAGGGTATTCACACTTGTGCGGCCTCTGTGGAGCGAAGTGGACCCTCTGGTGATTGGTGAGGCGGGTGGCGCTGCGGAACTTCTCGCTGCACACCTCGCAGATGAAGGCGTTCTCCTGCTCGTGGACCTTGACGTGAGCCTTCAGGTTGTAGACGGTGGTGAACCTGCGGCCGCAGCCCTCAAACTCACAGGTGTGAGGTCTCTGCTTGTCATGGGACTGGATGTGGCGCTTCAGTTTGTAGGAGGTGGCGAAGGCCCAGCCGCAGCCCTCCACACTGCACTGGTACGGCCGCGGTTCCTCTGTGTGGTTCAGCAGGTGGACCTTCAGCTTCTGCCGAGAGTCGAAGGCAGAGGAGCAGCCCGGTTCTGGGCAGGTAAAGGTGGCTGCAGCGTCCTTCCTGGATCGGATGAGCTGCAGGGACTCTTCGCTGTTACACCCCCCCGACGGGGCTCTTGGGGATGGAGCGATGAGGTCCGCCTCGGTCACCGCGCACAGCTCCCCAGCTTCCTGCTTCACAACAGAGCAGGAGTCCAGTGAAGGGCCCAGTTGTGGTAGGGAGCAGTCCTCCTCCAGCGGGGCCAGCTCAGAGTCAGGTCTGGGCTCCTGCTGCTGGCTGGCCGCTGCCAGGGTGCTGATCTTCCCGATAGATTTAGTCCCACTGTCATAGTTGAGGAGGACAATGTCCTCATGGTCCTTCATGCCCAGATGCTCCTTCAGGCTCACCATGTCGTCCTCTTTGTGGACAAACCCCTCAGGAGGGGCCGCCAGAGTCAGGACCCCGTTCTCAATAGTAACGATGATGCTTTGGTTGTTGATGGTGATGGTTCCGGAGAAGGTGTCCCCGGCAGGAGGGCCGCTGTCCTCAGCTCCCGCTGCCTCCATGGCTTCCCGCGGGATCAGCGCCGCTTCCGGCTCCGCTCGGCTCTCCTCGCCGTTTTCCGTGCAGATCTGCCCACAGATCTTGTCGCCATATTTGTTGGTGAGAACAACATCTTCCACGGTGTGGCGGTCCGGATCCTCGCTCACTAAGCTGAGATCGGCCCTCTTTAGTGTCTGCGGCCCCGCACAGCACAGGCTGTCACCGCCTCCCTCCGCCGGGGCTCTGCTCCCGGAGCCCCCCGCCTCTGCTCGGTCGCCCTTTAACGCAGCAAACTGCTCCTGCGGCCGCCTGTCGGCTTTCCTCCCCGGCTCGCCGTCAGCCTCGCGCTGCTGCCGTGACCCCGGAGCTTCCGCCTCTCCGTCGAACAGCGCCATCTGCATCCCCTCCCCGCTGTCCTCAAACCTCCACTCGGTTCTACTCAAGTCCTGGGAGCCCAGAAGGGCGCCGAACACATTCTCTTTCTCGGCGTCCATCACGTTATGAAGCCCCAGAGGCGCCCGGTCCTCGGCTGCTGGTCTGGTGGTTGGTGAACCAGCCCCCCCGCTGCCATTTTCCCCCAGCAGGCGAAACGGAGCGCTCTTCGGCCTGGCGTTGTTGTTGCTGTCGCTGCGGGGCTCCGGCGGCTCCAGCGGACTGCCTGTCTCATTTCCCAATGAATTCAATGGCGGCAACAAGGCTACGGCGGAGCGGAGGGCAGCCGGATCGCTTCTGTGGAGGGCGCCATGTTGAGAGTGGATGTTTTGGGCATCAGAAAGCCCCTGGATTTCCATCTTGGTATCCCTGTAGCAGCAGCAGCCGCCCCGCCCTAATGACGCGCCGTCCATCTCACCGCAGGCCGGCTGCTGCGTTCAGGGCCTGTAGGAAACATAAGTGATTCCCCTGAAAATACCGTTTTACTGCTTACATTATCATCAGGATAGCGTTATTTTTAAAATAATGTTTAAAGTAGATATCAATATGCATCTAAAATCGGTAGGATTAAACAAGATAAATCTATTCAGTTTCCAGACTTTCATCTGTCAAATACTAATAAAAGCATCTCACAGAGAATCTGTCAGGTGATGATGATATCTGTAGACAGTGTAGAATCTTCTATGCTCAGGCTAATTCTCTGTAAATGTGGTGCATGCACTGATAAAAGTGGAACTATTTAATGCATAATAAACCTCTCTGCACACGGGTCACCTGTGCTCTACATACAAACAAATCCAGCCTGCAAAGGCTACAGGTGGCCTATAATGATGCTCTGCAGCTACTTTTGAAATGGCCAAAATGAACTACATGTAGTGTAAGGGAGATGTTTGTCAGAGCAAGACTCGATATCTTACAGTTCATTGTATAGTTTTATCTGCAGGATGAATGCATCTGGCAATGATTGCATTGTCTTGTCACTTAATGACACCAAACGTAGAGCAATCTGATACCAGTCTGAGCTGTGGAGACACTGGTATTCCTGTCCCCTTAAAGCTCCTATCTGTTATACTTGTTTTGTACCATCCTACCTGAATTGTTTTATTTTTATCTGATATATTTATTGGACCATGAGTCGGTGAGTCTGTCAAACACCTCTCCAAACCCACATATTTTTACTAGGGTTTGGGGCTCAGCATTTATGGTTTCTAAAGGTTAAAGATTGTCAAATTATTTATTATCAACAGCAGTTAGATCCAAAACAGTCACTGTGTCATTAATCTAAGAGAAGCTACACTTTAAACTTTAATGGTGGATGAAAACACCTCATAAATAGCAACGCCTGAACAAAAGAGAAGTGTAGTTTCACAGAGTGTCCTCTAGGTGGCAGTGTAACACCAACACACTGGAAACAATCTAAATCTAGATAAGTCATTTTTTATTAAAATAAATGCATTTGTTCTTTGATTGAGGAGATAAAAGAGACATTTTGCCAATGGAACAAGACAATTTACATTTAAAATAAGAAAACACAATTGCACTGTCTTACTTCAAGAGCATATTATCTGATTATCTTATTTTAAGAGTAAAAATACTAATTCCTTTGGCAAACTAACTCATTTACCTACTCAAATTAAAGTAAATACACCTAATTTTAGACATTTTTTACTTATGTCAAGATGGTTCAGTGTAAATTGGAGCAGTCTCCAGGCTATAATTTTAAATGAAACTCATTTAGAGTTTTTATGAGCCTAATAGGTTAGATTATAAAAATGACATTAAAGTATGTTTGAAAAATACAGATTTGTAAATATTGGAGATTAGATCACACCCAAACAGAAGCTAAACCTGGAAAACAAAAGTAATATGCATAAAAATGTATGCAGACCAGGAGCAAACTTGGAATAAGTCTGTCCTTTCAATGATCTGTACTTTATTTAACCATGTTTGCATTTGGTCTTAGTATAACACATGGAGGGAACACATGGACTGGAAAGAAGGAGTAAACAATATTTCTTAAGATGTTTATTTCAAAATGTCCACAAAGTGTAACAAACTCGGCATGCTTCATAAAAAATACCCAACAGTTTAGTTGTATAGTACGGTTAAGTATTGCTTATCATCTTAAATACATGCATCTTCAAACACATGATGCTCAAATCTACATGTTGGGTTGTCATGCTGGCATGTCATGTTGTTGAAGTAAACTGTATAAAACTTAAAATAAATGTTAAAGAACAAACGCCGTACAGTGGGCAAGTCAAAACAGAGGAATGCCGTTTGAAGTAATAATCAGGTAGAGAAGAAGATACGCATTATAACGGATGGCAGCACCAGAGGAAGGTGAGCATGCAGAAGGACAGATTTAGCATCACCACAGAAATAAGGCCACAAATCCATCCTTTCTCCGAAACTAGGTGATGTTTACTAAACCTTTCGACAAAACCAGATAAACCAATTTATTATTTGTAGATCTTCTGATGGCGTGATGAAATAGGGGGGATATTATAATAGGGGCTAAAGGACAAACTCAAGAACACTAAAAAAAAGCAGTCATACTATTGCATTGCCATAACTTTCACAGTATCTGAAACGTGTCAGGGCCCTGAGAGCTCAGTGCACAGAGGTACATTATTATGCATAATCAAGACCAAATAAATGCAAAACTTTGTCAGATAAATGAGAGAAAATGAAAAAAAGGGCAATGAAACAAAAAACACTGCAAAAAATTTAAATCTAAATAATAATTTTTACTTAAACTACCGTAAATCCTCTAATATTGGCCTGTTTCCATTAGCAGCCGGGTCTCTAATAATGGCCTAACTGGGTGTCAGCGGAGATAAATAATGGCCGCACTCGTATACAACCAACAATGTTCCTGGGCAGTCCTCAAAGACTTGTGATAGTAACATACAAGTATCACAGGGGGGCAG